CACAAAGATGCTAATGCAACTACTGTTTGCCTTCATTTTTCAGACATTAATGTTATGAAAATGTAAAACACAATTTGCTAATTGCTAACCATTGCAAATTAAGATTTAAGTAATCAGGCTTTTATGGTGCTTCTGTTTTTTTTTTTTTTTTTTCATACTAATGCATTTATAGTACAGATGTCTTGCCTGGCTATATTTTACCATGTTGCCATTTTATTGATTGTTAAATAGGAAAGCCATCAGACTTCTGACTGCTTCTCATGGGGAGACTAATTAGATTATCTGATTGTCTGGTTCATCCGAGTAGCAAATACTTAAGTGTCACAGCTGGTCTCAGACTCAATGTCTTGTACCATTATTTTTAAATGAAACAATTAAAGCTTCATTGGGAAATATTTTTTATAGATGACTTGATAGTAAAAAAACTGTCTAACCATGAGATAACTTATTGTGCTTGTGTAGAGAGCCTGAACATCTGCATTGCAACTAGAGTTATTTACTATCGTCCCTCTTTTCCAGTTTGATTCAGAGGAGCTTCTTAGCAACAAAGAGCTCCTTAAGAATCAGACAGAATTAGGTTGCTTGTAAAGACCTCAAAATGACATTTGAGGAATAAGAAACAGGCAAGTTTTCCATTTTAACAGAACCCTCAACATCTGTTACTAATATAACCTTTCCAAATGGTGCACTTGCTGCTACAGATTGTTTTGCCAATAAGATTTTTCAGGAGAAAAAAATGTTTTTGCTTATTTGCAGAGTCCTAACTAAGATGTTACTCGAAGTTTAGAGTCCTCCTACAATACCTGGATGGACAAGAATTAAGTTGAGGAGGAATGGATTGATTGTTACCCAGGTGAAAATCACATTAGGTGCTGGAGTTCATGGACATCTGGAGGCAACTGGGCTACAAGACTAGGGATTGTTGGTTGAACGGCTAAAATCTGAAAAACCATTGGAAGAAAAGTTGCTTACCTGTCACAAATATACACAGACTAAAAACAAAGAAATAATGATTTTCTATTATATAACCAAGTCTAAAGATAAGAGGATATCTGGAAAGAATGCATCAGTTCTGGAAAAATAAAAATAAAAACCATCAGAATTAGCAGAACAGATCCTAGCAGATCAACACTGATTTATAATACAAAATAAAGTATTCACAGAAGTAGAACAGGAAAAACTGCAAAGGGCAAAGAAATTGAAGCCTTGCCATAAGCAGCTCAAGAAGAGGCAAACCAGGGGGAGGCAGCAATAGAGGAAGCCAGACTCAAAATTCAATACACAAGAAAAAAGTCAAACAATACACCACCAAAATGGAAGATCAGGTTTGGAAAATAAGATCAGCAAGCTAAAATCAGAGGCAAGCAAGTTAGAACAGATTAAATAAAAGAAGCAAAAAAAAAAGACCAAGGAATATCTGAACAAGAAATATTACCTATAACAAAGAAAATAAAGGAAGCAGTGGAAATAATAAAGATGCATATAACAACTACAATGAAAAAGATCAGCAATGTTGAAGCTTGAATTGCACATTATAGGCAGAATCTCCATTTTCAGTCAAACCAGAAATATTTCTACCAATCCATCAATGGAGCCATTACAAGGAATGAGTCAACATCTGACAAAGAAGAAACAGTTTGGTTCTGAGAACAGTTGTAGGATAATCCAAAGAAATACAAGAATGCAGCCTGGCTAAAAGGAGGCAGATAATAAAAAAAAGAAGCTGAAACAACTAGTAACAACAGCAGAAATGGTGGGGAAAAGAGCAAGAAAGTTCAAGAATTGGTCAGCACCAGGTGAAGATGAACTGCATGGTTTTGGCTGAAACATCTGATTAGCCTGCACCCACTCATTCCCAAGGAGGAGGCAAAATTGAAGATTGGTTAACATCTGGCAAAACTACCTGATAATAAAAGATGGGGGGGCAGAACCAGGGGACTATAGGCCAATTACCTACTTACCACAACATGTTAACTAGTATGGTAATTGATGCAGCCCAAAAATATCTAATTGAAAACAAGCTATTTCCATCTGAGCTGAAAGGAAACTGCCAAACAGCAGAAGAACAAAAGACCATGTCAGCCCATGTCGTCGGGGCTGTCATTCCAGTGGGAACGGAAGGAGACAGAGTGCGCAGCCCACGTTCCTGCCTGGATATCTTGCCTTGGCGTCACTTGCCTCCTCCTGCATACAGACGGTGGGATCTTCTTCCTTCAGTTGTTCACAGGGCCTCCAGCTGAGGGCAGATAGGACTGCACTTGCGTGGATGAGGTGCCGGCTGCGTTAGGCAGCATTAATGGAGGCTTACCAGACCTACCCCGATCGGAACGACGGCAACGAACCAGGACTAATTGCACTGAATTACTGGCTGGAGGAAGGAAGCTGGAGCCCTCCAATCAGCACAGGGATTTGGGGTAGAATCTGGGGGGAGGAGTAGCGCTGGGTTTAAAACAGGAAGGGAAAGCACGATAAGGTTAAAGCTTATAATATTTCACTGTAATTGCACTGGGTGATTGTCGGAGCCTGCCGAATTTAGAAAGATAAAACTTTAGAACAACATCCACCCTGTTGTCTGCGATTTATTTTCTTATCCTGATTCGGAACCTGACAGACCAACTCCTAATTGACAACTATGGAAAACTGCAAGAGAAGGAAGACCAACTTGAATGTAGCTTAAATTGACTACAAGAAGGCATTTGATTCCCTATACAAGATCCAGAAGATAGAAAGACAACATCAAAGACACACCACAGCAACATCAATTAACTATGGTTAAGGCCATCAGAAGAGCAAGAGCCAGAATTTTTTATCTCCTTTGACACCCAAAGTGAGGAGGAGGAGATTTGACTCCCTGTCACATGATTGGATAATTAAGTGCCTACAAATAACAAGAGTCAGTAGAAAGCTCAGAAGCTTTGTGCAAAGATCAATGGCACAATGGAAGACTAGAAGGATTTAATATCAAGACAGAAAATCTTTCAAGAACATTCACTATCACTACTACTGTTTGTCATTGCATTGATTCCTCTGTCAAGAATACTGAACAAGCCAGGTAATGGCTATCAAATATTTTAAAAAAACATCTTCCAGGCTATCCTTTCTTCTTTACATGGATGATATCCATGTGGAGAAACACTATCTGAAATAGAATCAATGCTCAACGTTGTCTGTATAAACAGACAAGATATTGCAATGGAGTTTGGGCTGGACAAATGTGTCATACTTACCATCAAAAGGGAAAAATAGTGAAAATTGAAGGAATCAAAATGCTCTATGGAAATAACATCAAGAGTCTGTATAAAGACAACCACTAGAAATTGCTAGGCATCCTTCAGGCAAACATCAATCACAATTAAATCAAGATGGTTAGAAGAGTGAAGAAGATCTTAGAGTCCAAACTCAGTGAAGGAAATACCATCAAGACAATTAACACCTGTGCAATTCCAGTTATTAGATACACAACTGGAACAGTGGACTGTATTCAAGCTGAACTAGAAGCCCTGGGTAGGAAGACCAGAAAATAATAACAATGAATCATCCCCTTCATCTACACAGCAATTTTGAAAGCCTATTTACAAGGAGCATGGGCGGGTCTGGAATGTTGCAAGCACACCAGACAAAAGGGGCATTGAATAGTCTGAATGAAGAAGATGCACTGAAGGTATTATATCATGAAGGTAGTATATGATGATACTAAACTGGCATATGAGAAAGAACAATGAAGAACAGAAAAGATACACAGGAAACAAAATATTACATGGTCAGCACATTAAAAAAAAAATAACAGGCAAAACAGATAACAAGACCTGGCAATGGCTAAGAGCACGAAAGTTTACGAAAGAGACAGAGGAACCAATTCTGGCTGCCCAAGACGAAACCTTAAGAACAAATGCATACAAAGCCAAACTGAGAATACAGCAATAGCAAGTGCAACCTGTGAAACCCCTTTCTTGATCGGGATTCCCTGTGCAGTCACTCATGCCCTTGTCACCTCTCGCCTGGACTACTGCAACGCTCTCTACATGGGGTTCCCCTTGAAGAGCACCCGGAGGCTCCAACTGGTCCAGAATGCGGCCGCGCGGGTAGTCACGGGAGCCACATGGCGCTCCCATACAACACCTCTCCTGCGTGAGCTGCACTGGCTCCCAGTGGTCTTCCGGGTACCCTTCAAGGTGTTGGTTATCACCTTTAAAGCGCTCCATGGCATAGGACCTAGTTATCTTCGAGACCGCCTGCTGCTACTGACGGCCTCCCATCGACCTGTGCGCTCCCACAGAGAGGTCCTCCTTGGGGTGCCATAAGCCAAACAATGTAGGCTGGTGACCCCCAGGGGGAGGACCTTCTCTATGGGGGCAGCTACCCTCTGGAATCAGCTGCCCCAGAGATAAGGAGAATCCAAGACCTCGGTGCCTTCCGCCGTGCCCTTAAAACCTTCTTTTTCCAGCAAGCCGGGCTGGCCTAACACTTTTTAAAATGTTTTTAATTGTTTTTGTTTTTAATCATGGGGCCAAATTTATATATATATATATATATATATATTAATTGTATTTTAATGTTTGTAGTTTATGCTTTTACTTGGCTGTTCACCGCCCTGAGTCCTCAGGGAGAAGGGCGGTATACAAATTTAAAAATAAATAAATAAATAAAATAAAAAGAAGCCAAAGAAATAGTTGACCACTTAGTTGTTGCAAGAGAACTGCCCAGATTGACTACAAACAACATGACCAAGTAGCAACAAAAGGGCATTGTAATATCTGCAAGAAATGCCATTTGTCTGTAAGTAAAAACTGGTAGGATCACAAAATAGAAAAAGTGAAAGAAAATTAAGAAGCTAAAAGTCTGGCACTTTAGAATTCAAACAGACAGGCACCTACCACGTAAGAATGTCTGTGGTAAAAGGAAGCAAAAATAGTACCAACAGTAATAAGCGCCTTGGGTATAAGCCCAAAAGAACTGGAGCACCACTTGAATACCATTGGAATTGACAAAATCACCATCAATCCATTGTAAAAGGCGGCTTTATTCAGTACAACTTTCATCCTGTGATGTCAGATCTCAAGATATGCCTAGCCCAGGTCCTTGGGAAAGACTCAATAGGTGGACAAAAATGACAAATCCAGTCTAAACATCCATCATGCAATGAACCATAACAACAATAATTTCACACTTTGCTAGGAGAATTTATGAGGAAGGCAAGGGAATGATTCACAAGATTCATTAATATTTTTCTATCTATATCTTTGGTAGACATTTCATTTCTCCATTGAAGTGCATGAGCTGGCAATGTCAGATTGTAGGTAAACCTGCAGTCCCTTAAATTACAGATGACTACACAAATCTTGTACATCTGAATTAGAAGTGTTCTCTGCAGCATGCATCTTTTTTATAAATATCCATCACATCTTCCATAATGTTTTATATATAGAAATTCTAACTATTTTGCATCATAATAAACATTTAAAAATCAATATTTTAATTGCCTTATAATTATAGCAGTTTTTAAAGAATCTTCCTCTTCCAACTGAATTTTGATTTTTATCATTAATGTTACTGTAGGCACGGCCTCTGAATGAAAATAACTAATCATGCACAGGTATTTTTATCTACATCCAATTTAACTTTCTCATACTGGGTTCCTCTAGAGCTTGCCAGAATATTTCTGTAAAAGTTTAATTGAATCATTCACCTCTGTGAGATTATCTATTTTTTTAAAAAAAAATATCTCAGAAAACATTACCAACTATGTTTTGCTTATAGGCTATAAAAATAAGAAAAGGTCAAATGCTAATTTGACATTTTCAGATCAAGTTCAATCCTTCACTTTCATTTTAAAAAAATCTGATAACATTCACTGAGATAAAGTAAGTCTGAATTTAGAATTTATTTTTAAAAAAGTAATTTGTCTTCTCTAATATCAGACAACTGCAACACATCATGCTTTCTTGTTCACTTTAAATATTGGAACATTTTTTTTTACTCTTAAGTTGTGTCTTGGGACATATGTAACAAAGAACAATAGTAATAACACTTCAATTTATATACAGTAATTTACAGTACTCTCTGAGCGGTTTATAAATGTCAGCAATTTGTCCTCAACAATCTGGGTTCTCATTTTACCAACCTCAGGATAGAAGGCTGAATCAACCTTGAGCCAGTCAGGGTCGAACTCCTGGCTGTGGGCAGAATTAGCTTGCAATACTGCATTCTAACCATTGTGCCACCATGGTTCTTAACAAGAATGTCAGATATTCCGGTTCTTTAATCCAAAATTCATAAACTCTGATGGATTCTACTTTAAAAATGTTCTTTAACTTTTGTTGAAGACATGTTGTAGGTTTACATTTCATAATGGATTCCAATAAATTAGAAAACAGCTCAAGTACCACAAGCATCTGGCTCATATTGAATCATCAAAGTATGCTTAAATTGAAGGTATTGTCACTGCTGTGAACCACAAATAGATTAAATCCAATATGAAGTCAAGAAAAATCCTTGAAATCCAATGAGGCAGTAACACACAGGAAGTAGCTATTAGATTAATAGCAAAGCTCACGTTTCCCCCACACCATTTCTCTGCTTTCTCTGCCCATTTTTTAATCTCATATTATTGCATTATCATTGTTTATTTTATAATTTTATTGTTTTTCTACTGCTTATACTTCATGCTTCTATTTTTACTGTTTAAGCCACTTACGATAGCCCCTTGATGGGGCTGCAAATAAATTTAACAAATAAATAAAAAATAAAAATTACATATTCATGGATTTTTTAAAAAACTAGTCTGACTTATAATTACTTCTAGTTAAGTATTTTATTCCTTCTTTTAAAGTAAAAATGTTCCAAAACATTAAGTACTGATCATCCTTAATTTCAAAACCCAATATGTGCCCCAACTTCTTAGTATACTGTCCTGCAAAGAGAACACCTTTTCTACTATACATTGACCCAAGAATTTTCCAAGACTTTAATAGAGATAAATAATGTAAAACCAGTTGTATGTCTGTGAATACTGTATGATCAAAGAACATGACTGTATATATGAAGATTAGAGATGCAATATTTTATCCCTTGACAGGAAATCAAGCCCTTTTAACTGAGTAGCTATTATTTCAATGGAATTAAGTAGAAGACTGTGTTGTAAAAGGTACACTGATATATTCTTTCCTTCTGTTCAGATTTGCATCCTACCGTTTTTTTTAAAAAGACACCACACAAACCAGTTATTCTTTTAGCCTTGTTGCTATCAAAACAACAAAAAACACAACTTAAATCATATAACTGAATAAATAAGCCAGTAAATACCATAGGAAGTAAACATATTTCTGAAATTGAATTTTTAAAAATTAAATTAAAAATGGGATATTATTATGAGAAGCTTTAATTACATTTATAAAGCCATTATTTCCAAGTCAGAAAATGCTAAAAACTATGTAGTTACATTTTAATTTTCATTTTAACCCTTTTGGTCAAAATAGGAAAATCAAAACATCAAAACATAAAAATATAAAACACTTCTAATGACAGAACTAGAAGTTATAAATAAGCAATATGTAACATGTAAGTGAAAGTTTTTCAATGATGGCAGCCAATTTTTCAAAGAGCCAGAGGCTGGATGTGCAGGTATGATCCAGAATTTTCCTGGGAGGATTATGGGAATAGGAGGCAAAATACCAACAATACCGACAGTTACTGACAGTAACCGACAGATGTGAGATGTTGGATTGACTGTTCCAGGAGAGGTCCTACTGTAGAGATATCATACTGCTGGTACCTTCGCCTCCAATTATTGTTAGCAAAGACTTCTACAATCTAAGCATGGAATAACCAGTTCCATCCTTGTTATTGTTTGACCTTTAATTAATGTAGAGCTGTTCTTGAAAACTATTCCAGGTTGTTTACATATCTCTCACAATGTAGAGTTAGGGTTAGCAAAGGTGAAATTCCGAACTCAGACATAAAATCCTTCAAAAATAATTATAATTTGCTAGTCATCATCATCCTTATTATCATCATTATAAACAGTGAAGTAGTCCAAGTGCTGGAATTTAAGGACTTCATTGCCCCAACTGGTCCATCCAGGTTGCAAATTCCGGGCAAACAGCTCTAAACATTCTACATCTGGCTTGGTATATTCTTTCAAAATCTCTGGAAAGTGAAAAAAACAAAAAGGTGAGCTTTAAGGAGTTTCTTGTTAGTCAAATTTATTGTATATTGCCAGAAAAAAATATTTATTTATTTAGAAAATTTATATGACACAAATATGAAATACCCATCCTTGGAAAAATGAACAGTACTACCAAAACTTACAGTTATTCTCATTTACAGACTATAGTACCATCATAAGAATCTAAAAGTTCACTTATGATGATTACTAATACAACTCTTAACTGACAGAGGTAAATATCTTTAACCATTTCTTCTCTCAAATTTTGAATTTAGGATTGAAAAACAGAAATGAGTAGAAAACAATCCATGTAGGGTATACTTTGGTTTCATTTATTGTAAACTTTTAGTAACTGCATTTTACATTTAAGAGATAATTATTCAGTTTCAGAATGATTTACTTCCAGTATAGCTTTCACTGGCTTCATATGGCATTTTGAAGAAACAGGCAAATCTAACCTTAAGCCAATTAAACTGTTGTGATTTCCTATTTGATGATCTCTTAAGAGTGTAATTTATTGAATATGCAGATTGTTAATTCCTTACAATACCTTCTTTTTTAAAGTTGAAGGTATCAGATAAATCAGTCATGTTCTGCTGTGCTTCACTACCAATTAATCCTTTATACAGCAATTCAAATATATAAAATCATATGCTGTTCTAAGTACATCTTAATGATGTTCTCACCATAACCAGATTGCAATTATGTTTAAACTTGTATTTGGGCATCAGTTTCACAAACTGTGACCCAAAATACTTCAATAATTTTCACAGATCACAGCTACAGTGGCCAGCATGTAATTTGGGACACCAATTCCAGGCTTTGTAAATCTGTACAGCCTTTAGGAGGCTGCAAAAAGTTAGGAATCACTACATCATTTTGCTGCCTTCTAAGGTCACCTTGATTTTTGCAACGTAAGTATGGTAGTTCCAAATTAATGGGACAAAGTCTTAGTTGCTAAAGCTCAATAAACAGTATATATCCTTATATTCATGTATTACTTAGGACTTTTATTTGATACGTAATTTTTCTTTTTATCACTGGATCTACACATCACATTTCTCCAAACTGATATTAGACTACACCTTCCATAATTATCAGCCACAATGGCCAATGACTAAGAGAACTAAGTGCTGGACACATTTGGGAAGGCTGTCCAACAGGTAAATAAATGGCAACCTGTTGAATTGCAGTATATAGTGGAAGTATTCAGAAAAAAAGATGGCAGTGGTCCCCTAGGGAGGGCTATCATAGATGAGCTGCAAAAATACAGAACACCACTAAATGGTAGAGAAGAGGTTGCAAAAATGAAATTTTCACTGAAAATGCCATTTATCCTGTGCTGAACATGTTTTAACCAGGAAAATTAGATTATTTAATAAAATGTAACATTTATATCATATTATTTTACTACTGAAATAAACTATTATTCTCTGAATACAGAAGAACAGGCCTATAAACTGAGATGATAGTCCTTCTAGTCCCTTGATGGTGAACCTGTGGCACGCATAGCCATATCAGTGGGCCCACCAGCTCAGCTCTAGTGCGAATGTGCGTGCCGGCCAGCTGATTTTCGGACCTTCTGGGCCCACCAGAAGTAGGGAAACAAGCTGTTTCCTACCTCTAGAGGGCCTGGGGTGGATGGGTTAAGGCCCGTTTTTCTTTCTTACCTGGCTCCAGATCCTCTCTATGCAGAGAGGATCCTATGTTTTTGCGGAGGGTGAAAACAGCCTTTCCCACTCGCTTGGAGGCCCTGTGGAGGTCTGAAAGGGCCCATTTCCCAACTCCTGGTGGGACAGGAAGTGACGTTTTTGAAGTCCCCAGACTCCAGAGACTCCTAAAGAGGCTCTGCAGGCTGGGGACAGCAAAAAAACGGTACTTCCTGTCCCACCAGGAGTTGGGAAATGGGCCCTTTCAGACCTCCACAGGGCCTCCAAGCGAGTGGGAAAGGCTGTTTTCACCCTTCCCAGATGCATAGAGAAGATCTGGAGCCAAGTAAGAAAGAAAAATGGGCCTACCAGGCCATCGCATGCCAGGAGCGGGGGGGGGGGTTGCGCACGCATGCGTGGGGGGGTGCATAAATTATGGGTGTGGACACGCGCATGTGCGAACCTCCCCCACCCACCCGTCTCCTGGCATGCGATTGCAAAAAGGTTAGCCATCACTGTTCTAGTCCATGGGCCATAATATTAGTCTCAGATTTGTTATCCCGAGTGAAGTTAACACAATTTCAGGTCCCGATCTACTCAAATGCACCTAGAACCTATTGTTTTGTTCATACACACACTGAAAATCAAGAAAATATTATTACATGGGAAGCAGTCTGGTGTAATAGTTTAAGGTACTGGACTAAACACCAGATTATGAATTCCAGTTGCCCCTTAGGAGTGAAAACCAGCCAAGAGACTTTGGGGGCTCTCATTTTCTGAGTCCATCCCATTTTGAAGAATAGCATAGAAAAATTATGAGGCAGGATCATTATGTACTGTATACTGCTTTGTGTTGTACAAAATAAAGAGAAGATGTAAATCTAAACGTTAATGTCATTTTACATATCCACTGATGTTTTTGTAATTGCAGCAGGTATATATAAAATAAATAACTAATTTCTAAAATAATAGCATAGCAGAAATAAATTGGTAGTGCAGAATACAATAATGGTATAAAATATGTAAGAAGGTTTTCCGTGGCTTTCACTGCTATTTTAAACCCACAGGGAAACAAATTTACGAACCAATGTTTAAAATAACAGCATTAACTTTTATTCTTATTTTTTAGCCAAGTTCCTTTCAGAATCCATTTGTACTTGATGAGTAATTCATATAAAATTTGCTTGCATAATTGTTTAAAGGACACTTTGATCATGGCAATATTTTGGCAGTGATCCTGCGGAAATTGACTTTTGTACATGCATAAGTATATGCAAATAATCCAGGAAAACCTCAAAATAACTGCTTCAAACTTTCAGGATGATGAATGATTCACACAGCTGTACTATGTAGCATGTACTGATGCTAAAAAAGCCAATTTGTGCCAGTAAGTATTCTGAGATCTTACAATTTTTCATGGATATTCTTTTCTCTCATTTTATATTAAAATGAATTCTCAAGAAATAGAAAATTACCTTGATTTTTATACTGCATTAAATATTTTTTCAATCCTCATTTTTAGGTGGAAAACTTGCCAATGTAGATTCTTTACTTTTTATATAACAAAAGCTTTATATATTAAGGAACTCAGGTTCCAGAATAAGGATAGGTTCCAGGTTAAGGATGCAGGTTTTTAAAAGTTTAATAGTAAAATAAGTATCTATTCTAATCACAGCGATAAAACAGAATTTATATTGGTCTATTCTCTCTTGACCTTTATGAGTTTATGAGGTTACTCAATGAAAAGGTGGTTTGTGTCAATATCTGAATTAAAGTAGATAGCTTTTTATTCAGTCTATGCTCATCAGACTGAATCCCAAACTGAATCTTGTAATTGTGAGTGGATGGGAGAATTTGAGGGCTTATAAACTATAAAATAAGACAGAAATGAAATGCAGAAAATATAGCTAGTCTATGCCTGAAATTCATGCCACACAGAGTTTGCACCATGAAGCATTTGATATAATTAATTCATTAGTTTTCAAAGTATCATAAAACAAAACAGTTTCAAAATATTTGAAACAATAATTAAGGAAAAGAAATTTCATGGATTTTTTTTTTCTCGTAACCTATGGATAAAAATAAACAATCAAAATAATTGAACACAGCTATTAGGAATAGGCTGCTATGCTGTGCTATATTTTCTTTCTCCAGGAACTATTAGAAAATCAAATATAAACTTCTGTAATCTAAATTAAATTTTATTTGCCATATTTAATGATGTGAACATTAAACAAAGAAATGTTATTAAAAACTTCTAGTGTCACAATTTCATAGTTAAATTCAAATCACAAAACAAAATATAATTTTGATTGTTTATGCAAAGTCCTTTTTGTCTGAACAAAAGATAGCAAGGAGGTTTTTATCAAAATAAAATACTGTGGTACATTAACATTGTTAATTGCACTGGTTTCTTTTTAAAATAAAACAGTGTGTGCAGATAATTGATATGTTTTCTTTCATTTCAACTTTTTCTTTATGTTCATGCTATAAACTTTGGAAAAAATTCCCTCTACTGGCAATTCTAGTTAATAGTTTTTCACCACTGTAAAACATTTCTTCTACTGACAAGACTTGAATATCTTCTCATACTCCGAAACCCTTAAATCTGCAGTTCAGCCATCTGCAGTTTTATGTTGTTCTGCATGATCATTCACTATTTTTTTTATTAATTTAGAAATTAGCCACATATGTGTGCAAAATGAAATATGAACTACTGGTATGTAAACAAAATAAAGTATTATTTTATCTGAAGAAGCAATTAGCTAGCAAAGAACACACTCACAAACTTTTCTATATGGTTGTATTTAAAAACACACAGACACATACACAAGGAAGGTAGTCCTCACTTAGTAATCATTTATTCAGCATCCATTTGAAATTACAGTTGTGCTGAACAAAAGTCTTTACCAAAGTTATAGCAGTTCTTCCATGGTCACATGATCAAAATTAGACTGCTTGGCATCGCCATATTTATAACTACAAGAATGCTTCAACTCCCTCATCTACCTTTCTCTCTGCAACCCCGCCCCATCTATATCCTTTTGCCTCCCTGCATTCCATGGCCTCTACACCTTAGCAGATCTTTGCCATTTTTCTGCTTCCACTGCTTACCAAGCCTGCCCGGACCAGCCCTTCATGATGCAACTGCTGGCAGTCAAGGCCTTTTCTTCCAGGTCGTGCATGGCAGTTTCCTCACAAGACCTGAAGAAGATGGTCTCATAGAGCCAGCAGTAACCTTGCAAAGGGCCAGGGCAGTCACGCATCATTAGCAGAAGGAGCAAGAAGATAGTAAAGATCAGCTGGGGCAGTAGAGCACATGGCAGGAGCCTCAGAGTGCAAAGTGACAAGGCAACTGCAGTTGGGATTGGGGGCTGGGGTTTTGTGTAGATGCTAGGCCAGGCTGGGAAATCACAGGCAACTGCGGCTTCAACCATTCCGCACTGCTGGGCCAGGCTGCGGCTGCTGAGAGGGGTACACCAAGAAGCTCTTGAGATGCAGTGTGGAAAGTAGTCCAGAGCCCACAAGGCAGGGTGCAGCACAGCCAAAAGGGCAGAGTCAGGAAGGAATAAACATTTGGGTGAGTTGAAGAAAGGTAATCCCATACCTTGGAAGAATCGAGGTTTAGGTTTAGGCCTGGGGCTGGTGAGGGGCCACACCCTGAATTGCTTGAACTGGGGTGCGTCTTTGGCTATTTACTGGAATTTGGTTAACACAGCAATGGGAAGTGTGGGATAGTTGTCATTAAGCAATGTGGTCAAGTCTCATTGTGCTTTACAATCCCATTCCTTACTGGTGGAAATTCCAGTCCCAATTGCTAACTTGCCTTCCATTTCTTGCATTATGAAAATGCAATTATTTACACAAGAACATTTTTGTTTATTATATGTAGATATTTTCAACCACTACAGATAAAAAACTTGATTTCAGGCACTAGAGACACAGATTCTATCATCTCTTAATTATTCACTTGACAGAAAGTAATGAGGAAAATCTGAATAATTTGCCTATTGCAGCAATAAATATTGCCTTCTGTCTTTAAACAGTGCCATACCCAACGAATATGGTAAGCTTCTGCTATAATTGAAGAAAATGAATCTGTGAAAAGCTCCAAAATAGATATGGTTACACAGCTATATTATTATTTTCCATGTGGATTGATTAAAGCAAGTTGCTTAATTTGTTCAACTAATTTTTTGAAAGTTAGGTCCTCAAACCTAGTGGGAGTGAGAAGCCTAAAACCTCAACTTTTGAATCAAATCTTGGCATGGCACTTCAAAGGAAGGAAAGTTTGCTGATTAGCAATGGGGGCTTGTGGAACAAGTGATTGTAGTATAGAGTTACTATGGTCAAGTATCAAGCAAATAAGAAAAGATCTCAATTCCCCTAACAAAAAGCAGTACTGAGCAAGTCTCAAAGATGCCTTTTCAAGAGGCAACTTGGTAAGAAGCACCTGTGGGACATCCATGACCTGGATGACTGAGAATCTCCGTAGACATACTGGGCAAGTCTTACTGTACTGTGTAGATCTATGGCTGCTGAATAGCCAGAATGGACATAATTGTTCATGCTTTCACAGTGTGGGTCAAGAGTAAATATTCCTGTTAAGTTGACCATTACATTTATACCCTGTTTCATGTAAGACAACTGATCAGTAAATATGGTATTATATGACTTAATCATGTTTGGGCTACATTTACCATATATTTTAAGAAACATCATCAGGATGACTCAATTAGTAGAATGAAAAGGATGGAACAAAAAGAAAATATTTTTTTCTGCCATTACTTTGTTTTTATTGTATTTATTTATTTATTGGTTCGATTTATATGCCGCCCTTTTCCGGAGACTCAGGGCGGCTTACAATGCATTAAGCAATAGCCTTCATACTTTTGTATATACCTGCTTAGTAGGGCTTTCACACACACACACCCATTTTATATATATTACCGTGTTTTCCCGAAAATAAGACATGTCCAGATAATAAGCTCAATTGGGCTTTTCAGCGCATGCGATAATATACGCCAGCCCCACAAAATAAGACACCCCAATTACTTACATGCATGCGCAGCCGGTCCCACCATTTCCTCTGGTTGCTTGCCACGCAACCAAAATGAGTTGAGGAGGCGAGGCCAGAAGGGGGGGAGGGGGGACATGCCCTCACCTCCCTGTTCTTCGCGCCAGCTGAGCAGCCCAACAAATCCCACTCCACCCCAATGGCAACAGCAGCTTGGCTGCTTCCATTCCCCACCATCTCTTTATTGAGAGGGGTGGCAGGTGGGGCGGGGGAGAAGCAAGATGCATGGAGTGAGACATGGCTCCCCTTGCCGTCTCTTCTCCCCCACCACCACCACCAGGCATGGCAGGGTTCTTGCCCGTTGCTTAGCCACCCGCCCCCTTTAGGGATGCAATTTGGCAGGTGGGATGGGCGAGAAGCAGGACGCAGGTCTTACCTTTCAAGCTCCATCGCTTTCCTCTCCGTTGTGTCCAGGGAAACACGCTGTAAGAGTGTGAGTTCTTTTCTTGTAAGTTCGAGAAGTTTGATTGAACTCGCGATAAGGTTTTCTTTTACAGCGTGTTTCCCTGGACACAACGGTGAGGAAAGTGATGGAGCTTGAAAGGTAAGACCTGCATCCCGCTTCTCGCCCACCCCACCTGCCACCTCTCTCGATAAAGAGACCGTGGGAAAGGGAAGCAGCTGTTGCAATTGGGGTGGGGTGGGACCTGTTGGGACACTCAGCCAGCACGAAGAACAGGGAGGGGAGGCGACAGCAGCGACGGGACATCCAGTCCCATGCTCGCTGCCTCCTGCACCCTCAAAATAATAAGACCCCCCAATAATAGGGACAAGCCCTTATTTGGGGGAGGGGTATCAAAAGAAAATAAGACCCTGTCTTATTTTCGGGAAAATACTGTATTTGTTTTATATATTTATATATTAGCATGTCTGGTTAAAATTGAACTGCCTCATAGGGAAACTGACATTCAAAGTTAAACTCCTTATGAAAATTCACAAGCTCTCTGTAATTCTCTACAAACATTCCATGTCATATTAATGATTGTCCAAAAACACCAATGTCAATGGGTAAGAACACCAAGCAATTAACTAGACAGACAAATTGAAAATATAAAATCTTACAAATATAAAAAATAATTCTGGAACTTACCTGAAAGAGGAGGCTTATGCGAATGAAGAGTACAAGGTACACTAACAATTATTTTCTGATCAGGAATTGCAGAAAACGTTTCATCTTCTGAAAGCCTGTTTTATATATATATCAAACAAGGTAATATAAATGAAAACCTTAAGTAATATATATAATATACATATATATAATATACAGACACAGTATCTGGGAAAGATTTGTACATTCATTGGTACTTCTCTTCCTAAACAAAATAATTAGAATGATTAAAAAAAACACCCAGAGGGCACTCTCATACTGGAAGCCATAATGAAGCTAATACATAATTGTTGAGAGTATTTCTTGTTCTGAAAGATAAAGGGCAGCTTATGAAATTTCTTAAGTTTCTGTAAAACAAAAGTAAAACTACAGGAAGAAGACAAACAGAACACAACCAATACTTATTTTAAATATAAATATTGCCTGGCTTTATAAAAACAGATCAATGTGTAATTCCAGGGCACAAATGATCCACTTGGCAGAAGCAACCAATACTCTTTCTAGGGCTAACCCAAGATGGCATATATAAGACTTAACTGCAGCTTTACCCTAAGTAGAGGAAGGAAGCATAGAAGACACCTAGCTTACAGAATGTCAACCACCTTGTTCTTTTTTTGCTGCAAAAGGATTAGCACTAATTTACCCACACTTATATCTCAGGTGTCAATTCTCAACTCTTCAAAAGACAAAATTCTGACTGACAGTAAAGAAGGTGTGATTTGTAGTTATAGATATCAGCATCTTTTCCTTTCCTCACCTACCCTATGCTAACAAGAAAACTGAATGGATCTTCAGAAGCAGGCGGCATTATCTCTTCAAAGAAAGAAGCAGCAATCTACTAGTTCTGTTCATAACCTGGATGGATTTCAATCCCTATAATTGGTTGATTATTATGGGAACAGAAGCCTAATACATCAAGAGGTACACACTTGATGAACACCACTCTTTAAGTGAGAGAATTTCAAACTTTTTCAGGTCATGAAATCTGTGGGTTAAAAACAAATCAAAACCAGAACCCTGGATCAAAAGGCAAAGTTCTTGCAACAGAAAATTGATTGTGTTCAAGGGAACTTTTTTCTTTGTCCTTAGTCTCCCATGAACTCCGATAACCTTCTTGTGGAACTTTCCCGCAAATGCCTCTACAATTATATCCTATCCCCCCATTTAGTAATAATTGGATATTCACTGAAAGCACTTTAAAACATTTCTTGAAAAAAAAGTTTTGCAACATCATGGGAAAGAGGCAAGTAACCAGAGCTCTAATTGCAACTCGCTTACAGCAGGCATGCCTTAGTCTTGTATTAAGAAACCGCACTCATCCCTTTAAACTTGATTGTAAAACTCAACTAAGCATTTCTAACTCAATGCTACACAATAATACTGCATATAAATAATATAACAAAATCAATGTCCATACCTTAGTGGTACATCTGTATTTCCCTGGACTCTACCCAGTACAAGAATTTCATATGGCTTTTTGTGAAGAGAATCTAATGGAATCACAAATTCTCCAGACTTTGTAATCTGAAACAGAGAAATTTGAACAAATGTAGCAAGCGTAAGCAAACAGTGCAAGCTATTTTATGTGTGTTTTACACAAATTTGTTTTTAGTACAGAAAACAGTGGCTGTTTTCTATATTAGTTGAGCACTATATTCATATATAATTACTTCTGACATGACTACAAATAAAAGATACAAATCAATGCATACATTTCTCCAGCTCAGGATTCAAGAGCTGCCCAAATCTGGTCAAACAAAACCAATTCCAGTGTTTTATGTATCACTCACTGAGGCTAAATGCTAAAAATTAAATTGCTAAAATTTAGCATTGTGTTATAAATTAAGTTGATTTAATTGAGCTAATTGTGTCAGCATTATTAAGTTGAGGAATATTGAGATTCACATATATAAGGGAAGCTACTGAATAGGGGATTGCTGTATATGTAGAAGGAAAATTGGAACACTGAACGCTGCTATAATCACTGATCAGGGCAATTTATGTTTGAAGGGCTGCAATCTGATCACCATAGGAAAACAGCATCCTTCTCTTTCCTTTCCACTTATAACTTTTCTAGTGAAATCAACAATATGCCGATAACAGCTCCTCCAGTTTAAAAAATCTATTCCTTAATGTTAGAATCATAGACACTTGGCTGACAGAAATTGAACCAATTTCTTCAATTTGCTTTGCTCACTAGGCTATTCTATATTGTACACCAGACTAAGATTGGAAAGCAGGAAGGAGAAAGTACATTGGCTGCAGAGATTTCATCTCACTATCCCAATGCTTCTTCCTCTGTCTGCTAATTCTGAGCATAGCCTTTTGTATTTGAGTGGCTGGAACAGTAGAAAGAACAGGCCTTTGTGAAACAGCTTAGATTTTGTTTTGTACCTTGGAAACAACTTCACCAAATCAAATATGTAAGCCAATTAGTCTCAACCAAGAATTTTGAGTGGCTTCAAAATACATACAGTCTACAAAACTACTACAGGACTACTATCTTCTCAGCTTCCAAGCTAGGTATTTTCATGACTGCCCATAACTGTTTTCAGTGTTCAGATGCTCATCAAAGCCACATGTTTTGCATACTACTGAAGCATTCATAAAGCCATTCAGCCTGAAGACCTTTTGCCATAACCAGAAGGAAGTGCTAGGGACAATGGTCTCTTGTCTAGATTATTGGTCTATGGTGTCTCATAGGGTTCAATCCTTTCCCTATGCTATATGGTATCTACACAAAACTGCTATGGAAGGTCATTTGGAATTTTTAAATGAGTATCATCAGCTTCTTACCATACTACACCAAGGGAGCAATTGATATACTTGAACGTTATTTAAAATGTTCAAGTGTATTTAATAATGGGCCAGATGAGAAGCAACAAGCTGAAATTACTTCAGACAAGATAGCAGTACTGTTAGTAAATAGATTTGGAAATTGAAATTCAGCTTGTTGTGGGTAGAGGTACATTTCCTCTGAAAGCTTAAGAACTCCTTGATCTTCATCTATAATTGGATTTGCAAGTTTCACCTTTGTGTATTTAGGTCTAGCCCACCATATGCAGCCTGACATTTGGCTATCGACTGTGCTCTGCCTGAAGCTACCCTTGGAAAGTGTCCAGACATTGTGGCTGGTGAAAAATGTGGCAGCTAAGCTGCCAACCAAAGCAAAATACAGGGAATGTATGAATCTATACATTCTGCACTGCTTGCTACGGAAATAGTTTACCAATCAATCCCAGTCACTATCTATAAAATATAATCTTCCTTTTAGACCTTATCCATCTTTTAACACTGGTAGAAGAGGCACTTTTTAAGAGGCAACCACTATCAGAAACTCATTGTATTGATACATGAGAAGGGACATCTTTGATCTCCAACTATATGGAATACACTCCCTCAGAAGGTGCCTTTGTTTTGTGAGTTTATTATTAATGTTTACTTTTCATATAGTTGTTCTTGAGTGATCACCAGAGCAGAAAGATGGATTAAGGAGTTACATAAACAAACAAACAAACAAACAAACAAACCTATTCTCTCTAAAATTTCTAGTAGAAAAACTAAAAAATAGTTTAAGTGTTGCTCTGGTATTGATCACACATTTCTAGGCTGACAATGTATTCATTTATTTTTTAATTCTAATCTGTAATAAAAACAGAAATATGATATGTAAGCCTGATATTCAGAACTGAGGTGTTCAGAACTTGACTATCTCAAACTGTCACTTATAAATTAAGAAAAATAAATTTAAAAATAAGATAAAATGCATTTAAAATGTACCACTAAAATTAATACTGGAATTACTATCTATAAATATTAAATAGCAGGTAATAATCCAGCAAACTTACTTTTACCCAGAACCATTCAACAATACCATGTATAGACCAGTGAGGATAAAGCTCATTCTTTACAAATTGTAAATGCTTCTGTCTGTTGGTCACCCATGTGATCACGAGGCAATTTGGAGCTGCCAATGCTGGGACAGGAATTTCTTTGATTTGCCAGTGAGACAAGAAACCATACCTAAGTGTGAATACATTGAGAGAATTTAGAGCTCATCCAAAGCAAGAAAGGATGTTTGAAATTGTCTGACACTTTTTACAAACTTTGTCTAATTTAACAACTTCTATTCTAGATTAAATTTGAGTCAAGAGTGACATCCAGTGGTGAAAAGCTTTCCCTTTACATTTGGATCTACTGAATGCAGCAATCTAATTACAATCCGTTTTCACTTCTCAAAGCAGATATATATTGGAGAAAAAAAAAAACTTCTGAAGCAAAATGAGCTTTTAATTAAATATTTTGCCACATTTCTGAATATTAGATTAATAGTTGGAGTGCAATAACTGTAATTTATCCCATGTATGTAGTATTTTGGAAGCAGCATCTTGTTCAAGTATGAAATTCATTACTGAAGAATGTCTATCGGCCACCAGGCTACAGAATTTTAAAATGGGATTATGAAAATTCTGACAAAATAAAAACTATTAATGGCTGACAATCCTGATGATTATGTGCTTCCTGCCATATGAGACTATAGACTTCTGAATGACAGCTACTGTGGATAAGCAACAAGAGAGTTATATTCATATTCTGCTTGCAGGCATCCCAAAAGCATAGAATTAACTATCATGGATATAGAATGCTGGGCTATGCAGATACTTAGGCTGGGCCAACAGGACTCTTTAAAAATAGCAAAATTACACATTCCTTTTTAAAAGTGCAACATTTATCAAGTATACTTCAGAAAGAAAATTCTGTGTACATTCAGTTTTAAAAGTAAACCAAATTCTCAGCTTTCTGAGAAAGATGAATGCAATTTGCTTATTTCGCATTTCAGATAAAGCCATTTTTCCTCCTTACAATCAACCCTTTAAAGACTGTTTATATAATATTTCTAAAACATCCTTATGCAGATAGTCGTCACTTAGAAACCACAATTAGGATTGGCAAGTTGGTCAGTAAATGCCACAATCACAAAATGGAAAATCCGTGATCATAATCACTCTAAACCATGGGTGTCAAACTTTATTTCACTGAGGGCCACATCAGGGTTGTGTTTGACTTGGGGGGCCGGGATGGGCGTGGCCAGCCTGACGTCACTAATGCCAGGGGTGGCTGTGATGGCTCAAGTGCTCTACCACGAAAACGGGCGCCTGGATACAGTTTTTGGCCACGAAGGCCTACAAAACTTTGCCAGTGAAAACGGAGCTCATGGAGCTGTACACAGTCTCCGCGGAGGGCTGCAGCAGGTCATCATGGCCAAAAATGGAGCCTGGAATGGCCACATGCGGCCCTCCTCAGCTCCATTTTCTCTGGCACAGCCACCGTGGGCCGGTCCTTTGCTGTTTCCAGGGCAGCCCTGCCAGCCAGATCTAAGCACCCCATGGGCCAGATGTGGCCCACAGACCTTGAATTTGACACTCCTGCTCAAAACTGACTCAGCTAGCTGTGCCCATCTACACTTGTAGTGGATTATAAGATTTCTGATAGATAGAAAGCAACAGATGAAGCTAGGTAAAATCACATCAAATACCCGTTCAATTAGCACAGGCAACCCCCAGGGCTGTCTGCTCTCTCCATTACTCGTTAGTATCTATACCAATGACTGCACCTCTAAGGATTCCTCTATTAAAGTACTGAAGTTTGCAGATGATACAACAGTCATTGATCCCATTTGAGAGTGATGAGTCTGCATATAGATGGGAGGTTGAATAACTGGCCCTGTGGTGCAGCCAGACAATCTGGAGTTGAACACACTTAAAACTGTAGAGATGAAAGTAGATTTTAGGAGCAGTCCTCCTATTCTACCACCTCTTACTATTTTAGACAACATAGTATCAACAATAGAGATCTGGGTTCTATGGTATAATCTCCCAGGACTTGAAATGGACATTTAACACTAAAGCCATCATTAAAATGGCACAACAGCGTTCCTACATCAACTCAGAAAGTCCAGACTGCCCAAGGAGCTGCTGATACAGTTCTACAGAGGAATTATGGAATCTGTCATTTGTACTTCTGTAACTGTCTGGTTTTGTACAGCAACCAAACAGGACTGGTACAGAAAGAGGGCTGAGAAAATATCTATAGACCCCTCACATCCTGGACATAAACTGTTTCAACTCTTTCCCTCAGGAAGCCACTATAGAGCATTGAATGCCAAAACAACCAGACACAGAGAGTTTTTTCCCTTATGCCATCATGCTGCTCAACACCTAATTACCACAGCACTGTCTTATGCCAAAGGTTATTTACCCATACAGTATGGCTATATTATTATTATCCTTCTCATCTTTTCTACCTTCTCTTATTGGTATCATTATTGTTTACTTTGATGTTTATATGTACACTGAGAGCTTATGCACCAGAGACAAATTCCTTGTGTGTACAATCACACTTGGCCAATAGTGTTTGTTCTGTTCCATTCCATTCCAATATTCTTTTCTATTCTTTTCTATATTATCTATTCTATTCTGTTCTACTCTGCTCTATTCGATTTACAATCTTACTCCCTTTCAGTTGTTGTTAAGTGTTCAGCTGTTAAGTTAAACATCCTGTGACAGCAATTTATGATTTTACTTCCATCTTCTCTATTAACTTTGCTTGTTGCAAGTCAGTTGCGAAGTACTCAAATGGTGATCATGTGACCAGAGGACGTTGTGATGGTTGTAAATATGAGGATTGGTTGCAAAGCTATTTTTCATACCACCATAACTGAACAACTACTAAAGGAGATAGTCAGTAAGCAAAGATAATCTGTATTTCTTTAAATAGATGTTTGAATGATATTGTATTGCCCCAATTTTAATAAATTATATATCTCATTTATTTTTCAATTTACTTTTTATTTTTTCCCACTATTTTTAATATGCAAATTTAAAAAATATTAAAAGACAGAACAATTTACTAATTTTTAAATTTCTATTCATGATGTTTATAACCTGCACGTTTCTAGTCAACCAGCCAGAATTATACTAGAAATACTCTTAATATATTTATGAAAACAAGAATAATCACAAATTATAGCAATCTACTAACTGATTAATTTTACAACTTAATAAAATAATTTCATTTGATAAATGCTAATCATTATATCCTCTTACATTTGAGAATCTCAATCACAAAAAGCTTGTTAGGATGCCATTAACCGATTTTTTATATCAAGCATACACAGCAAATTTTATTCAGATACCCTTTTGCAAATTACTTCCTTTTATTGCACCACTAAAACAGTAACCTGCCAGATGGCATGGTATTAAAAGCTATTTACTTAATTTAAATAAAAATATACATTTATGGGAATCATACCTATTGCTTCTTTTAACAGACTTGTTCTCCCATGGTGGGTCTATAACAATTACGTCATACTTCTTTTTATCTGGAAAAAAGAAATGTTTTCAATTATTGCAGGAACAATTATTTGAAATTATAAAAATATTTCCCATATTATAAGACCCTAATACTTACATCTTTCAAAGGAATTGAAAGTATGATCTTTCCCTGCATTTTAAAACAAAAATCTGCCCTTATAAGTTTATATCGACTACACTGCTTTACGTGTAAAGCTGAATTTAACATATAGCTCAATTTCATACAAGCAATTATAACGACTTCACATGTACCATAAAATCTTTCTGGTCTATCCAGGCAGATTTGTTTCAGAACCAAATCAAGATAAATTATAGCTAAGGAATGGATCATGAACAAGTTTGGTTATTCACTATACACAAAGATAAACATAATATTTTGCTTATATCAAGGCAAAATACACCTGCTTAAATCGAATTGTTCAAATGGATAGTCAGGTCTTTCAATTCTTCCTTTTACTAAAATATACATAGAACTGCTATGGCAAAATATTTAGGGATTGCTGAACAAGTGAGAAATTTTACTAAGGTATGTACCGGTACTTACAATTCAAAAGTGGCTGCATACACGAAAAATCTGATAAAAGAAATGCACTTCTGGGGGGAAATAAGTAGTTCTGTCCCATTAATGTTAACATCTTTGCGTTGTTTGTATTATTTTCAGTAACACAGGTTAATTGAACTTGTTCTGGGTCAGAGGTTTCCTTGTCTATTACACATTTTTGCTCTCTTTCATTCATAGGAACGAAACATTTGGCCATCTCGCAAAGCTCAGCCAAACTGCAATTATTGGGTCCTTTGTCAGATGCCTTGACATAAAACTGGTCTATAGAATTAGGCTGAAGGAAACCACTTCTGCGTGCCTCCTGGAGTAAACATCTGGTCCCATCCAAAATTATGCCACTGATCTGTGTACAGAAATAAAAGATAAAGAAAAATTGCTTGAAACATGCAGATTTGTCAACCACAATTTACTAAAAAGTTCATATGAATTAATGACTGCACAATGTAAGCATGAAGCAGTTATAAAATGTTTTCAGATTTGTTCATCTTAACATTATTTCTTGGTGTTTGAGTGGAGAATGTTATGAATCCTTTACATGGACATTTTTGCAAACAGAAGCATTACAATAGAGATAGGACAATTATACATGTTATCAATCTTGAGGCCTACAGATTCATTATTACTAATTTATAATTTGAAAATGAAACTAAATTTAAACTAATATTTAAAAATATTCACAGTATTTAGGAATGCACAAAATGAAGAAATAAAGCCAATTAACAACTACCACCATCAAAAGGCCTAACTTACACATACAAGACTATGTTTCTTTGTAGAACAAGCAGAACTGCATGCATACATCACACATTTAACCATGGCTTAGCCAGACTGTTGAGTAAATAAGAGATTCACCCATCATGTTATATAATAAATTCATGGTTTATAAATAAGATTAGCAAAACAACACCCAAAATCATGCTAAATACCTTATGACCTAGGACTGTGATGACGAATCTGTGGCACGTGTAGCCATATCGGTGGGCACGCAAGCTCAGCTCCAGCCAGCTGATTTTCAGGCCTTCTGGGCCCACCAGAAGTAGGGAAACAGGCTGTTTCCTGCCTCCAGAGGGCCTCGGGTGGAGGGGGGAGGACCGTTTTTCTCTCTCCCCAGGCTCCAGAGCCTTTCTAGGAGTCTGGGGTGGGTGAAAACGGTCTCCCCCCTGGAGGCTCTCTGGAGGGGGGGAGGCCGTTTGCCAACTTCCGATGGGACTGGAAGGCCCATTTTTTCCTCTCCCCAGGCTCCAGAGCTTTTCTAGGAGTCTGGGGTGAGCAAAAACAGCATTCCCCACCCCCTGGAGGCCCTCCGGAGGCCAAAAACAGCCCCTTTGCCAACAGCAATGACTGAATGAGGCTATCAAGACATTAAATGTCAATGATGGGGAAATAGTCTTAGTCACAAGTAAACAGACTATGTCTGTACTACCGTTCACAAAAGAAGATAAAATTAAAACACCTTTCAAAAAAAATTCACTGTGATTTTAGTTATGGTTTGCACTAAGCAAGAATGGGTTCATAGAATATATTAAGTTATGATTGGAACCAGTTTGGTGTAGTGGTTAAGTTGCCAGTCTAGAAATCAGAAGACTCTGAGTTCTAATCCTGCCTTGGGCATGAAACCTGGCTGGGTAACTTTGGACCAGTCGCTCTTTCTTAGCCCAACTCATCCTAGGTAGCTCAGTAGCTAAGATGCTGAGCTAGTCAATCAGAAAGGTTGGCGGTTTGAATCCCTTGTATAAATCTCCTGCGTGAGCAGGGGGTTGGACTAGATGACCTCCAAGATCCCTTCCAACTATTACTGTTACCTCACAGAATTGTTGTTGTGGGGAAAATAGTTGGAAGGAATATTAGGTATGTTTGCTGCCTTGAGTTACTTATAAAGAAAGGTGGGATAAAATCTGATAAATAAATAAATTAACAACCACATTCTGCCTAAACATGAAGTGTGAATTTAACTTTTATTTCAACATATACTCTTTTAACACTGAACGTTTCATAAGAATGTGAAGCATTTCATAAGCATGTGTCACAAAAACAAATGGTACGGTCCCATTATTAGTCTTCAACCTTACCTTTAAATGATACTCTAAGATATCACTTTCACCATGATTAAGTTCACTGCTTCTTTTCCGTTTCTAAAGTTGAAAATGAGCAGATTAGCAATACTACCATTAACAATACTACCATTTCAAGTGTTACCTACATTAATTATTCTGTATATGAGGAAAAGATGTACTTTGTGATGAACTTGCATCCCTTAAACTTCACAAAGACAACTCAATGTGTATGTTAGTAAATAGCAGAATCTCATAGATGCACAATTTGCAACCTAATTGGTGGGACATGTATTGGTGGCAATGGTTCTCAGCATCTCACAATTCACCTACCATAAGTTGTAATGTAAGAGAAGTCCAGCTGCATCCTGGCTACAAAAAAAGAAGGCAGCGTGAAGACCTTGGCAGGTACATTAGTAGCATGCAGTGTGATGTGCGATGTGGGTAGTAGCAATAGGTAAAGGATTGTCCAAAAAGACAGAGATGGATGTATGATAGGCAACAACTGAAGAGGAGTGATTACAAAGGTGGAATGGCTTGGAATCCAAGCCATTCCAAGCAGGAATGGCTTGGATTGGAGCAGATCCTCATCTAAAAGCTGGTAGGATTCAGTTTAACAACAAGAAGAGGAACTGCCAGGATTCCCGTTACTAAGCAATGCAGTCATGATATCACATTTTATGATTGCATCAGTTAGCAGTGGAAATTTAAATCCCAATTACCATTATTAACCAAGAATTACATGTAGCACTGATTATTACAATATCCTTCTCCAATATGCATTACAAATATTACAATAAGAGCCTTGGTAGCACAGCTGACTAAGTGCTGTTAAAGTAGCACCAGCTGCCTGCAATTACTACAAGTTCAAATCTCACCAGGCTCAAGGTTGACTTAGCCTTCCATCCTTTCGAGGTAGGTAAAATGAGGACCAGATTGTGGGGGCAATAAGCTGACTTTGTATAAAAAAGAACACCGCTTTGGGGGGGGGCGAAAGCCCTACTAAGCAGGTATATACAAAAGTATGAAGGCTATTGCTTAACGCATTGTAAGCCGCCCTGAGTCTCCGGAGAAGGGCGGCATATAAATCAAACCAATAAATAAATAAATAAATAAATAAATAAATAAATAAACAAACAAACAAACAAACAAACAAACAAATAAATAAATAAATAAATCCAGATGAGCCCACACACAATTCTCATAATCCAAACCCAGTGCTGGCTGGAAATAATGGAAATTGGGATACTAGGGAAAGTGGTATTATCCAGCTAGTGTTTCATACCCTGATCACTTCCAGAAATGCCAGTGCTACATTTTCATGGAAATTACAGCAGTGATACAATATATCCAGGGAGCACCAGATATAGGTGACCCAGAATAAATGAATAGAAATTGTCTTCATATTTCTATTTTTGGGAAGAAAAAACTACAGTTTTTTGCAGTACCCTTTTCATTCTAAACTATTGACTATAGGAAAAATATAGAATTTTCAGATGGGAAAGTGTCCCTCACTTTTATTATCAGATGTGTCATTGTATATGACACAGATACAACAGACAAAGAAAGTCAAGCCATGTGGCTTTCTGAGAGAAAATGCCACATAAGGAACCAGCTTTAAACAATTCCTTCTAAGATTACAACTCAGAATGGCAAATACATATAATAGCATGAGTGTAAGACACATGTTACTACCGTTACTCAGCGAATTACTAGTATGGTCTTTTACAGCAGGACCATTTTTTATTTATAAATTCATAATAAAACTTTACTAGCTCATGCTAAAATTAGTTGTACTTGATTTCATTTTCCAGAGGTTTATGAAATGAAATGCTGAAAGCAAGTAAAATTATACAGTGCTTATTACCAATAAACTACACAGCACTATTGGATTGCAAAAGTAATAATCTATAACTATTTTTATAATAAACCAGTGATTTCATTTTATATTACTTACAGCATGAAAATGTATGTAAATATGTAAGAAATGTATCTTTATACACTACCTTTTTAGCCTTAACTGTAATAATAGGTTTCTTGTCCTTGTCATTTTTCTGCTGTTTAGATATACTAGTTTCTAGACCATGCTTTTCCGTCTGGAAGCTTGCAGGAATATGGGGTTTAAGTACATTAAAAAATTCTTCTAGAAATAAGTACGTCCTCTTTACTTTCTGATTACATTTTTCTCCCGAGTTTCTAAATTCGGGATATTTTTTTTTTGTACATGATTTTATAGGAATCAAACTTGTACCGGAGGAAGCAGGAATAGCAGTATTGTCAGAACTATCCTTAGCTGACTGCTCAAGAGTGTGGCAAAAATAGTATCCAGATTTATTTATGAAAGAGAGGTGATCTAGCATCCAGCCAGCTGGCAGATAACATACAATTGACATTGTCTGCTTTGGCTTAATTCTTCCAAATGAATTAAAAACTGTATTCCTTGGCGGGGGAAGGGGGGAACCAGAGAAATAAATCTTTAGAGAAGTGTTGCATAAACCATTAGTTTACCCACTGTCAAATATTTTAATTCAATTCTGTGAAAGTAGGACTTTCTATGAGCACAGCATCTCTCCTCTGTTGAAGAGACTGATCATTTTCAAGCATCCATGTGAATCTGGAAAAAAGATGCCACTGCTTTAAGAAATTAACAGTTTATTAAAATTAAGACTATTTCTTAAAGCCAATGATAAGATACTTTCCTGTGTTCAGTATTCAATATTTTGCATAAGAAAAAAAAAGAAAAATAGCAATAATGATATGCGGAAAATAGATACTTGGAGATACTGTGAAAAATTATTAATATACGAAATCCTATACTGTGTCATAGACCATTCACTGTTCCTGTAGCTATCAAAGATAAGTAAAATTTGGTTTGAATGTTAGGCTAAGATTCAAATTAAAAACATAAATTGCATAAGTAGACCGTAGTTCTGAACACATCAAAACATTTGTGCAAACAAAAGTTAGTTTTGCTTAAAGATTTGACAATTATAACAATAATTAAATTAATACAGCCGAGAGAGTTCACTGCTTTAGATATCTATTCTGGAAGAGCCATAGCAAGTCATTATCAGTCATTATCCCCCTCTTGCACTACAGTGGTTTCCTACAACTCTCTAGCGAAGTCCTAGGGGAGATTAAATTTGAGCTGGGTTCTTTCTTTGCAGTCTTGCCCTAAATTGTAGTTATAAGTAAATCTTGCAGAATTCAATGGAGTTTATTTCCGAGTTAAACCACAGCAGTTTCTATTGGGGTGAGCGGACCGCATAGCCCTTGAGCCAAGTCTTCTGCCCCGTTGCGGACTCGAACAGCCGCGCTCAGAGAGTCCCTGGAGGGCAAACATCAGTCTGCGGCATGCCAACTGGACCGACTCCCCTTACTCCCATCAGGGAAGAAGAACAAGCTTCGCTCCCAAGGGCTCCTTCCGGTCTGTAACTCACAGCTTCAGCGAGCGGCTGCTGAACCGGTGAACCACCGGAGATAACCATAGAGAAGAAACGCCAGCTATCCTGCTCGATCAAGTTTATCCTGTAGCTAATTTCCTGTTTCTGGCGGAAATGACGTTTCCCCCCGTCACTTTTAAGTCCATGGACGCAAACGGATGTTGCGAGAGGCGGGTAAATTTGAAAGCGAGCGAGAAGGGGCGGTGCCAGAGCGAGAAAGAGCGGTGAGTGGCGATTGCAGCAATGCCGTTACCGATGAATAGAGGTTACTAGTATCTGATTAAGATCGGCCGTCAGCTTGGTCGGCTTGAGAGAAGACATTAACGGTTGGTAAAATACTTCTTCTCTTCTACTTCTCTTCTACTTCTCTTCTTGCGGAACCGAGGCGCAGTTGGCAGCTACTTTAAGCTTTGCCGGTCGGCAGCGCTCCTCTGCTTTTTCTCGGAGGAAAATTAAAGCCGCCGCCACAGTTTTCCTTACACGAGAGAAAAATCCCCGGTTCTTTTCTGCCCCTAAAGGAGAAAAAAAATAATTTTATATTACATATTATAATTCGCTCTTGCAAGCGTTTGCTCTGCTTACCCCCAAATAAATAGGTTCAGGATGGCAGCCCTCCTCGTATCATCTGAGGAGTGAATCCAGAAATCCTCTTTTTGGGAGGCTTCTTTCTGTCGAAGGAAGGCCAGTTGTACGTATCCCTGGATAACATTGCAGGATCCAATCTAGAAGTCCCCTGAAGAGATGGGCTCCGTCACGAGTACCAAAGCTCGGAAGACCAAACCTCTAGTCCTGGTGACCGACCCAGATTGGATCCTGCAGGTTTTGTTCTATCCAGGAACCGGAAGAGAGAGAGAAAATATTCAGCAAATGCACTCTACTCTTCCCCCCCCCCCCACTTCCCAGTTTTCAAAAAAATCTCCTTTTGGTGGGTGCAGGACTGGGAGTGAGTTTGCTTTGTAGCCAAGGGCTTTTCTCTGCTGAATCCTTTCCAGTATATTACCAGCAGAGACTTTGCCACCCATCCATTCCAATCCTTTCTGCTGCCATGGACATAACCATATCTGCTTTCCCTTCTACAAGTTTACTGAAAGATTGTGGTGTCCTTCTGCGTTACAGTTTTCCCAACAACAATGAGGCGTAGTTCAAGTACCAGTCGAATCAGTTGCAGGCAATCCATCCAGCCGCTGAGGGTGCAGGATACTAATAAGACGGGACTTCATACACCCCAACCGTAAGACACTCTGATTCCTTTAGTTGAGGTGGCATTCATTTACTTGGCTTAAATTTCCAAGGCATGCCTGCTTGAAAATATTAATGTCACTTGTGTTTACCTGTTACTGTTCTGTATTCTATATGAAAAAAATGGTTAATTAGATAAATTCACTATTTTGTTTAAGCTAGGATTAAAATATGATCTGTTCTTTAATTTACACATGCAGCAAACTAGAGTACAAAGTACATAAATATTAAGCAATAGACCACATTAAAATCTGATATGTACCAAAAATTAAAGAGCAGATAACTTTATTGGATGGCATATAAAAATGATTTTGGTTTTTGGTGGTTTTTAATAATTTGTACAATTAAATATTTTCTTTTCAAGGCAAGAGAGAAGGACAACTTTTGGAAAGCAGAGTGTGGGAAAACAAGCACCAGGGACATCAGAAAGGAAAACCAGTTTTTTTGGCAGAAGGTAATTTGCAGTTCATTTCCTTTCATTTGTTAGGATTAACTTGAACAGTGTTTCAGTATCACTTCCAGTATGGATGAAATTTTTCTTCCACTAGAACGTGGGTCAGCAACGTGCAGCTCTAGAGAGAAGGACAACTCTCACCAAGGAGGTGGTGAGAGGAATATGGGGAGACGCACCCCAGCCGGTGTCTCGGGGCAGAGAAAGTCACACATCTCCCCATATTCCTCTCACCACCTCCATGGCTGCTTGCTGCTCTTGCATTTAATGGCTCTTGCTGCACAATGGGAGAGATAGCATCCCGTCCTCCTCCTCCTGGAGTCCATTACGACACGAAGCATTGGCTGGGGCGGCCCAGTTGGTGTCTCAGGGTGGAGAAAGCTGCGCATCTCCCAACAAGGTCTGGAAAAAGAGGCAAGTAGAGGGGCACTTCGCTTCTGCTCTGAAATACAGAGAGAGTCTCCATCCGCCTCTGCCACCCTTCACAGGGCAGGTGAGGGGCGGGGGGGCAGTCAGTTGACAGGGAGCCACAGCAGGGGATGAAAGAGCTTCATTTATCTGGGAACCTGAAATGACTCTTGATTTAAAATTAAATCATATGGTAAAAAGCACCCAAAGAAGAAAGAACAACATCAGGGGGGAAAAAACCCAATCCTCACCTGTTTTTGGAAATGGTTCAAGAGGGAACCGGTGCGCGTGTGCACACATGCACATGAGAGAGAGGGAGGGAGGGAGGGAAAAAGAGAGAGAGATGAGAGACAAAGAGATGAGAAAGAGAGAGGAAAAAGAGATGAGGGAGGGAGGGAGATGAGAGGGAGAGGGAGAAAGATGAGAAAGAGGGAAAGGGAGAGATGAGGGAAAAAGATGAGAAAGAGAGAGAGAGATGAGGGAGAAAGATTAGAAAGATGAGAGAGGGAGAAAGATGAGAGAGAGGAAGAAAGAAAGAGATGAGAAAAAGGGGGAAAGAGAAAGAGGGAGAAAGATATGAGAGGGAGGGAGAAAGATGAGAAAGGGAGATGGAGAAAGATGGGAGAGAGAGAGAGAGAGAGGCCTGTTTAAAAGAAAATACCTGGAGCCACAAAACCTGGATAGGTGTGACTAGCGGGTGTCATGTGACTGGGTGGGAGTGAGTGATGTCGAGTTGGCCACACTCAACCAGGTTTTGTGGCTCCCGGTGGGAAATGGGCCCAAGTGGCTCTTTGAGTGTTTAAGGTTGCAGACCCCTGCACTAGAAGAAAGCATCAAGGACTTGGATAGTTTTTAGTGCAGGAAACACTTACACCAGGAGTGGGAAAAAGTATTAGGATTTGTGCTAGTATTCCTTTTTAAGATCCTGGAGCTTTTGAGAATTGGCAGGACCTACTCTAAAAATGTGCCCTGGCCATTTTTGAGTGGGACCTTAACATATCAGTTAAAGTCTGATATAGTTCTCAGATCAATGAAATTTGCATTACTCTGTCTTATATTCGCAGTAGAAGATTTTCAAATTACAAGCTTAATTGCCATTCTTTTTAGTCTTTTAAGTCTCGCTTATCATAAATTGTATTTTCTACAATTGTATTTAAATAGTTCTGCAGAGATAAAATGAATAATGCCATAGTTAACCTGGATGCATATTTTGTGATTTCAATTCTAGGACTAGTGGCCCTGGGAGTTTACGGAACAGCCAATATGGTGCTTTTGGAAGTACAGAGAAAATCAAGGAGCCTAGACCACTTCATGACAAAACATTCATTCAGCAATGTATCCGTCAACTTTATGATGTATGCATCACTTGTTAAATTTAATTGTTAAATCTTTTATCAGAATAAATTGTGCCTGTTGATCAATGAAATTTGGAAAAAGCAAAGTAAAAATAGCCTAATGAGGCAAGAAATAATAGGCCATCCAGGTTTTTAAAAAGGTATGAATTACCTTCACATTTTAAAATTACAAACGCTAGGAACTATTGCACATTTGACACAAAAAAAATGCATCTTAGAACTGTCAGCAATATATTTTAATTATGGTAAAAATATATGTAAATCTTTGTTGATTAAAATACATAATTAATCTGCAAACTTCTCTAATTGAACAATAATTTGGACCATATAAAGTTTTGAATTGCTCTGTAAACTGACATAAAGCCCAAAACAAGTAATACTTTTAATTTTTTCCTAGTTTCTTATAACATATGGATATAGTCCTACAGTGTCTGTGAAATTACTCCAAACGCCTTCTGTTAAGGACTTTGTGAAAATTTTCAGCTTTATTTATGAACAGTTTTGCCCTTCATGTGACCTTTTGGGTTCCAAATTTGAAGAAGAAATCCCAAGAATTTTCAAAGAGCTTGGGTAAGTACAACCTATCCATTTAATTAATTTCACCAATTAAAAAGAATATAAGAATATTTTGTGGATGATACGTTTCTTGATTACATGTTAGAAAATTACCATCTTCCAGAGTTTATCAAGGCTCTTAATTATATTTCATTTTAATTTTGTAATTTTTAGACAATATATGCTTATAAGTAATCAAACTATTTGTGTTACAGGTAGTCTCATTTAGCAATTGGGACAGGCAACTTGGTTGTTATGTAGTTGCTAAATAGAAAATCGTATGACCACAATTGTGCTCATGATTTCAGCTTTCTTCTGCTTTACAGCATCAGAAGGATGCAAACCCAAAGAAGCTGGGTGAGCCCAAATGGCAGGGAAGGTTTCTAGTACTTGATTCACAAGGACATTGGGTAAAAGGGCAAATATTATAGCCCTTTTTCTTCACTTCCCCAGCTCTTTGGAATGCTCAACCTGGTGCTGAAGTATTTAGCGAGGGAAAATGCTTATATTTACATTCATTGGAGAGGCAGGGATTACATGAAAGTAAACAGGCACAATGGGGAATACACATTGAAAGAAATGCCCTAGTGCCAGCTATTTTGCCTAGCACGCTCCAAGCCCTGAACCGCTTAGTGGGCAAAAAAAAAAAAAAAAAGCTGAATGTGTGAAACTGATAAAAGTCTTATTAGTCATGAGCAGCAGTTACTAAAGTCACAGGCTGAGTTTCTCCAGCTCAGACAACATGTACTAACTGACTAATGTGACACAAACACTGCAAAGATTGTAAATGTGGGACAGCTCTCAAAGTTACTTTTTCATCACTGTTCTAAAAATGGTCACTGCCTGAGACTAAGTGAGGTCTACTTGTATTGTTAACAAGAAAACTACATAGACACTCTGGAATGTCTGCCAGGAATTTAGCTTGGTTTGACAGGAGACAACTTTATACAGCAAATATAAATTTATTTATTTATTTATTTGTTTATTTATTTATTTATTTTATGCAATTTATATGCTGCCCTATCTCTGAGGACTCAGGGCGGCTCACAACAGTAAAATGCATAATTCCTATTAAAACAATATAGAATTAAAACCCAGTTTAAAAACAATTTAAAATTCATTAAAAAAAAACCCATCAGTCCAGGCTACAGAACAACCAGGTCTTCAACTCGCGGCAGAACAAGCGAAGGTCAGGGGCCTTCCGGAGCTCCAACGGAAGTTGGTT